TGTATATCTAATTGCATATTAAAATGTATATAGTTATTAATTTTTACATAAAATCTTAAGTTACACGTTACCATTACTTAGAACTTAGAATTTTTTAAAATATTTATTTAATTCTAAAAATTATTATATACCAATAACGGAAAAAAAAATAGTATCACAATACATGAAGCTACATTAGTATGATTGCTCGTGCCTTGTAGGCTTTGATTGCGATCTTTGATGGATGTAATCTTGACGATCAAGACATGGTTTGATTTCCAAAATTACTAAGTCACGATGATACTCGATCTAAACTATTATAGTAAAATAATAAATTTTATATTTCTAATAATTACTCGTTTTTGTAGTTATATAAATAAATTTAAATAAGTAAAATTTTTAATATTATATAGTATTTAGTTGATTAATACAAAAACATTATAAATCTAATGGTTTTATTAAAAATTAAATAATTCATTTAGACTTTTAGCACCCATTAATTCTCTAGGTTTCCTAAAATGGAACATATAGTAAGAACAAGATGTAAGTAAAAAATTGAGGTGTATCCATATACATATACATATACATATACATATATAGTATGAATAAATCCCATCAATTAGGGATTAGAAGCACAAATTTTAGAAGACTAAATAAATAGAATTATTATTTTGATTAAACAAATGTCCCTTCATTTCCTAGACGAGACACATTTGAATTGATTATATAATAAAATTACCCAAAATTAATTTTTCATTTGTTAATTAAATCAAAATTTTCTTATAAATTTTGGGTGCAAATTCTTTTTATTAAATATAATAAAATCTAATTTGATCGTTAGAAATCAACCGATCAATATATTTATCGATCGATTACCATCAGTCTACAATACACTTATAAAATAATAAATTTTAAGTGATTGTTAAAATTTAAAAATCGTTTCTCGATATAATTAAATTAATCGGAATTAGGTGAGAGGATCTTAGTTTATCTAACAAGAAATTTCGTCATTATCAAGATTTCCCGAGTTAATTGCGTATAAAGTCAATCAAAGTAATAATAATAATATATTTAGATATAATGAAGGAGTACGTAAGTATGTAAATGCTGATTTTTTAAAGCGGAAATTACAAAGAAGATACAGAGAGAAGCATCTTGTATGTATAGACTTTTGTTCTTGGCATTGGATGCAACGAAGATCTTATAGATTCATATATATATATATATATATATATATACACATACATACACACACACACGTATATATGAATTTATACATGTATGTATATGCATATATTCAAATTCCAAATGTTATCCATTTCCCTATATTCGCTTAAAAAAAATTTTTTTTTTGTTTGTTTGTTACTTTATGATAAATAAAATAATAGAAGTAAATTTTGTGAAGACTCTTCGTCATTTATAATATTTTATTAATTATAATACATGTATTTATCCACAATATATTAATTTTGTTTTACTTTTTTTTAATAATAAATACATATATTAATTAATAAGGTGATTCAAATTTATCAAAAATATAATGTAATTAAAAATAATTTTAAACGAATATAAATTTGTATAAATTAAGTGTAATTTTTTTTAATAAACTGATCTTCATTGTCACAGTAAACCCATTTGACCACCATGATCACAGTTTAAACTTACAGAAGGAGCTAAACCATATGAATACAGAACAAACCAGAAGAATTGTATCACTGTAACTCATGGAAAGTATGTGGAGTTCATTCATCCTCGGCTCTTATTTTACATTAGAGGGAAAAAAAATTCTGAAACATTCAGTCTGGTTGCAGTAAACTCATTTGGATTCCTCGTGGCGAATCAACTGAACAAATTTTGATCTTACTTCGGATGGTATCCGTACAGGACGATAGTTTTTGTCGAGCCAAACTACTGTAGCCTTTGCTTCCAAAACAGGCTGCAAGATGCATTTTTAGACCAACACAATGATCTTCAGTGGAATGATGGAAGTCTTAAGTTTACGGAAAACAAACCTCTTGATTTGGCAACTTGAAAATGAAATGATCGAAGTAAATTCGTGCAGCTGAGGAGCCGGAGATCCTCACCTTCACGACAAACTTGTCTCCACTCTAATCGCAAGAAAGCATTATAAAAAAAAGATTTTAAAGAGTAATTTTGCTATCACAAGTTGCAGCATGAATGTAGAAATGTGAGAGAACATGGTCTGTTTAGTAAAAGTGGATGGCGTTAAGTCACTTCTTCGTTTTTCAACAACTACCCATGTTTTTGTATAGAAAAATATACAAGATTTCGAACTTAAAGCAACTCTTTACAATGAATTGAGGCCTAGGCTTTTTGCTTTTTGGTAAATCTCTGAAGTTTCATAAGAGATGCAAACTAAATATTTGGAATTTCGGAAAAAGCAATTCACTTCATCGAATCTGGGTAAAATGATTCACTTCCAACCCCTAGGCCATTCCCTTTTGACAATCCAAATACTGAAGTTTGCTATATTGGGAGCTTAGGCATTCATACAACTGGTTCCCATTCTTATCTGGGTAATTTCCCTAACTAATATGTCAATAGCTTTCAATTAAGAAGTCATTCATCTCCGACCCATTACTTAGAAATCAAAGAAAACTGAGTCTAGTAGGGATATTTGAAGGATAATGCAATGCATGGAGTCAGAAATTTGACTAAACAAGTAGATAAATACATAATTCAGACAAAAATGAGAGGCATACTTGTAAGGGTGCAAGGAATTTAAGTGACAGCTCTGATATTGCTAATGCATCACCGGAACGGGCAACTGCATCACAGTTTACACCAATGCTTTCTAGAAACTCACTACGACCTGATTAAGACAAGAGCAAGGGAGCAATTCAGTATAATTGCATCAAGTGTATCTAAAGAAGGAAAATTTATACTGTTTTCAGTGAAATTTTTTTTTCATTTTTAGCAAAACGGACGTAAAAGAGTTTCGTTTCAACTGTAATTCATGAATATATAGAACAAATCCATGGAAAATCTCTTAAATTCTCTAATCCACTTCATTTATTAGCAGCAGTCAACGGAACTTCAGTACCACACACTTCAGTTATCTCCATTCACCATGCTTAGATATTGATATGAAACCCCTCAAGATGAAATAAAAAGAAGAGCTCTCCAAATACTAACCAGAAGGAAATGAGTTCGAGCATTTTGCCTTTAACTATGAGACTTTCAACCTTTAAAGTATATATAAAGAATTTACCATTTAAAGACAAAAACAATATAATTAGTTAAATTCTGTATCATGTTATATATGGAGGCACCAATGTCTAATAAGAGGTCTGGTAAAATATCCCATGCATATGAATACTTTTCGTGGGAAGACTTTCAGAGATATCATTGTTTCTCAAGATCATAAATTTCCTAAAAATCTCAACTTAGCTGACCAATTTCAGAAGTTCGCAGAAGCTTCCATTACTCGCTATCCACAGTCAGTACAAAAAAAAAAAAACGCACAGAATCTGGCAGTAAGGTTCTCTTTTCCCATTAGTAAATTTCCAGAAACTCAAGCACCATGAAACACAGTCCTATCTATCTTTAGCTACATTCTAAAATTAGTTCTTTTAGCTCATTGTATTGAGTGGGATTAACAATGTGATGCTCTGAATTGTAAGAGTCCACCTATCCAAGCAATTTTGACATAAAGATGGCACATCAGAATTTAAGCCATTCGACTAAAAACCGATCATCTAAAAGAAAGAAAACTACACAGTGGTAATATGGATATGAACACCTAATGAGATAAAACACACCAGAGCAACCACAAGTTCTAGGATAAATACAAGTTAAGACACAGCAGTGATAGTGAGTCATTGACATTCAAATTTATATTTATATATAGATATAATACTAACCATGTTGGCAGTAACTCGCATAAACAGCATTGTTAACAACACCGTACTGATCAAGCTCGTAGTCCCGGACTTT